TTTCCAAATACCTTTACCTTTCTCTGTCGCCAGGGGGAGAGCGGAATGACTACGGAATTACAACGCTAAAACTCGGGGTCGATTCTCCACGATGGTCACAGTAGATATCCCAATGTTGCTTTGCTCTAAAACAAACCTTCCCTTTACAATTTACAGTACTATCTACACCCACTCCTCCCTTACAAATATGATGATGCCATCCATAATTCGCTACTCCTAATTTCACTTTTGAATAATTTAATGAAGTTTAAAAAGCTTCCCACGCACGCACACGCGTTACTGTTTTAATTATATAAATATTGAATAAAATAAATGACCCATAGTAATACTTTCAATAACACATAATTACAGTATTTTTCCCCTGTTTTATATAACTTTACAATTTTATATGTCAACGTGCAAAGCGTTGAATCAAGCTTTAGATCAGTTCCCAGGATGATATTATATAATTTAAACATATGCATGGGTTAAACAACTGAATATTCCAGTTTTCAGTTCATCTTTTTTCTTACAGCTGCCCAGTGAACAATTGAAGTTCACGCCGTTCGTATACCACACTTAATACAGTTGTCAGTTTTACATTCAAAGTGGATTATATTAGTCGTCTGCGAAAGGTGGAAAGTCTTGTGTGGTTAATATTGTCTGTAATTCCTGTTAAACAGGAAAAATTGTGCGACATTGTTTGTTAGGCCGTAAAGGTCTGCCAGTTGTTGGTTATGTGTTAAGATGTTATACAATTGTGTGTTATGTGGTAAGATGTTATACAATTGTGTGTTATGTGGTAAGATGTTCTATAATTGTTTTTTTTTATGTGGTATGATGTTCTATAATTGTTTTTTATGTGGTATGATGTTCTATAATTGTTTTTTATGTGGTATGATGTTCTACAGTTGTATATTATGTGGTAAGATGTTCTACAGTTGTATGTTATGTGGTAAGTGGTTTTTCATGTTGTGTGTTATGTGGTACTCATGTTTTGTGTTATGTCTCCGGAGAGAAGACGTAATATTTTCCTATTGTTTCTTCTTCTAAACACTTTTCAATCGACCGCCATTTCTTCATTTACCAGTACATTGGCTTGTCACTTTTTTTACAGATCCCATACATATACATACAAAAACGTGAGATATGCTCATTTTTAGTCAATTAATGGGATCAAACGGCTATATAAACCCACAATTTTAGGGGTTTTGGTCAATTACTTAGCCTTGTGTCGTCCAGTTTAAACGAAGTTTAGTACAAAGATACTCTTTGCGGGTCTCAAACAGAGATATAGATATTCTTGGAATTTTTGTCTTTTGCTCAATTTTTCAGCGAGGAACGTACAATTTGGGGTTTTCATGAACTGTTCAAGTGTATGTCAACCAACGCATCTGGAATGTGGTAAAAAGATACTTTCCTGCAGCTCCCAAGAAGTGATATAGACAGTTTTCGATATTTCTGTGTTTTTCATGATTTTTCTGGTGTCAGAATCGACATTGCATTCACCCCCGAATGCTGGCCTCTTTAATTTATTATGTAAAAGGGTCGGGCTTTTTTTTTTAATGTTTTATAGTAAAAGGCTCGTAATGTCTTTGTTTTTTAGTGTAATACATTCGGCAGTTGTTTATTATTATATGGTAAGATCTTCGATAGTTGGTTATCAGTTGTTGGATGTTCGCCAGTTACTTGTTTTATGGTAAGATGTTCGCTAATTCTTTATTATCATAAGTACGGTAGTACTTATAGTAGAAATGAGTCAGATGTGCAATACAAAATAAAATCTCAATCACGCTGCAAACAAAACTTTATAAGCACCTTATACACATTGTTGAATAGTAAACAAACCAGCTGCAGAGCAATAAGCCACCAAAGCTCTTGAGAAAGTCGGTAGAATAAAAAAAATTAACATCACCAGAAATATGTCAATCTGACTGACTGTCTGACGTTGTTGGAAAAGCATAGCTCTCTCCTGCCTTCATCTTATGCAAATCTAAATCTGGCTAAAAGTGTTTTTATTAGTTTTACTTATAAACTTGGTAATAGCATGTATGAACAATAGCCATTTTGTAACACTACTGGTGAGTTAGCAATATATTAGTAGCCATATTCTATGATTAGGAGCACGTTTAGTGAGTTGTCAAGTGACAACCCACCCTCATATCACGTGCGGGTGCACGACTGCTTACGCACTCGCCTACGTAATGGGCCTGCAGCTGTATCAGCTAGATAAAAAAACGTGGACTATGTAGATTCTCTAGATCTAGGTTATAACTATGATCTAACCTTTGAAAGAGAAGGCTCAGTTCTATACATCTAACTCGAGGGCTCTGTGCTAGACAGAGCAATTGTATCACAGCAGTGGGCGCCTAAGAATTGATTCTCCTATGTGAGGACGAAAGATATCACTACCGAAGTTTGACACGGCTTTACTCGAGCACTCTAGACTGAAAACAAGAACGGTGAGTTGTATAATTTACCTTTTCATTGTTTTCAAACTAAGTGTGATCTATTGAAACAGTGCGATTTTTAAAATATGTCTTTCAAGGAAAGAAAATGAGAGAAAAAGAGAAAATCTTATGTTGCTAATCTTGCAAGCTCTTTGTCCCAGTGAAGAGAGCATTGCTGCAAGAATAGAGATAAGGTTAGAATATGTGAAACAAGTCTTAGCCAATTAATTCAGACAAAATAAAGGCTGCCACCTTGGCTAGATGAAAAAAAAAAAAGACTATAGCAAAGATACCAGCAAAAGCCAGAAAATATCGAGAGATAGTTGTAAGAAAAGCTATAAGAAGGATAAGCCTAGAGCTCAGTCACTCATGAACTTAGTACCAAAAAAACTCTATGAGACAAGTGTAAAAAATGTTTAAATAAAATATTAGGAAGTAGGAATGGGAGCATCATAAAGTAAGGAAACAAGGTAGGAATAAATGGGTTAACATTACAACATATGCAACTTCAAAGTGGGTGTGTCCATCATTCTGCCCATTTCTACTTCGTGTTTTACTTTGAACTTTGTTCCAACTATAGATTTGAATTGAGTTTTATCAGCAGCAAATCCTCTCTAAATACTCAACAAAAAATTTTTAAAATTTCAAAAATCAGTGGTTTTGATACTATTTTGTTGACTCACCCCTTAGCAGTCATATAGCTATAATGTCTCCCATAAGCAGAGTATGGTATGACTATTGGAGCTTCCTGTCTCACTTCCGAATATCAAAAACCTCGCTTATGATGTCATGCATTTCGTTAGGGTCATGTAATTTGATTACATACATGTTTCTGTACTTGATTGCTGAAACAAAATTTATAACAGAGAAATTAATTTAGCTATATACTCCTTACATTTAGTTTGAACAATTACCAAATTACAAAAAGCACCAAACATGCTCGCCCTTTCAGCCGTGAGGGCCTTATAATGAGTTTTTGAGTTGCAATGGTGGAAAACATTTTTATTGTATTCTGTGAATCTGGTTTCCAATTTTCTTCCTGTTTCTCCGATGTAGAATTCTGGGCAGTTATTGCATGTTATTTTGTAAATGACGTTCGTATTGTGTGATTCTAAATAATTTTTGTTTAGTAACGATTTTAATTTAGGGCCGGGTTTTTGAGCGAATTTGACGTTGACAGCAATATTGTGTTTACTGGCTAGTTTAGTCCAAGTGTGGATAATTCTTGAGCTGGTTTCAGGGACAAAAGATAAACTGCAGTGTAATGTTCTGTTGTTGGATTTGTTAGCATCAATTTTGTTCTTGAGTTGTGTTTTGTTGTGGTGAATGTTGGAGAGTTTATTATTTAAGTTGCACCAACTTAACATCCTACGCACAACAATACGCTGTACCTCAAGTTTCCTCAATAAAAGACAAGCCAGAGCTCGACGAATCCCGCTATTCGTTGGTAAAATAGTAGCTCAAGAGTTGGCGGTGGGTGGTGATGAATAGTTTCCTTCCACCAATCTTACAATGCTAAATTAGGGACGGATAGCGCAGATAGCTCTCGTATAGCTTTGCGCGAAATTCAAAACAAACAAACCCACAGGCCATGCCCCCATACCCAGTCCTTAAGAATCTGTTTAAATTCGTCCCGATTTTATATCATTAACGAATCAACTCTCATTACGTTTATCTAAAGTTTCAGTATATATAAAACGTTAAGAATTATTATTAATGTAGTCACAACCTGCACCTTAATTGGTCTAGCCTAGTAAAATTATTTCTCTATTTTTTCATAAGACATAATATACCTCGTGAAGTCAGACCTTTTTTAATGGAACATTTTTTCATACATTTTTGCAGATTAGGTGTTGGAAAAAAAATATCCATAATAATGTAAGATAATTTTGTCAGGTGTAGGTTAGCAGTGAGTTTACGTGCTCGCAATGCTAAAAACCGGGCTTGATTCCTCGGGGTTGGCAGTGTGTAGAAGTGCAGTCCATGTAAGTTTCTTCATGACAAAAAAAATCCTAAATACAAAATAATATGTTTAATGTATGATAAACTGTAGTTATTCCCACGACAGTTCTTAAATAACAAGATCAATACGGGTAAAAGAGAAAGAAAGTTAAGTATTTTAAAGTTAATCCTTCCAGTGGCACAGCGGTATGTCTGCTGACTTATCACGCTAGAAACCGGGTTTCGATACTCGTGGTGGGCAGAGCACAGATAGCCCATCGTGTAGCTTTGTTCTTGATTACAAACAAAGTTAGTTCTATAATCGACCCCACGTCGTCTATATTAAACCAAAAATGGTAATGAAATAATCGCTTTAGTAGAGGTTCTGGTCAATTATTCGAGGTCAACTTTATTCACGAACTGGAAAAAATGGAAAACACGCAACCAACGAAATCTTGAATTATATATATGTAAATATATATATCATTACGAGCAAAATAGATATCTTTATTCGTTCTCGTGCTTATCTATAAGTGTTAAATAATAATGAAAACATTTTTTCTTTAGTTGTTATTCTTTATTAAAACATACAGCATTTCATTACCCATTTCCTTCATATAAAATATATATAATTAAATAACATGATCACACTCTCATAATAACTTGTAATTACACGTCTGCTCATTTAATAAAAAAAAACAAATTCTCAGAAACCTTATTTTCCCACCACTTTTACGAATTTTCACTAGTTATATGTTGGGTAATGACCGATGTCCCGATATTACACCATATTCTCTGTGGTGTGCAAGTCACACAATTAACACATTATCTCTTTCGCTCTCAAGACTAATTGTTTGATAAGCTCGAGAGTTTTTATCTAGATGAACCACTAGGTGGCGCTTTTCTTCTAGCTCGTAATTCTCTTCCTCGTCCTCAGAGGGACTGTCGTTCCGACCACCAGTATTTCGCCGAAAACGGTGTAAATTGGTGCCAACCAAGATGAGGATTATGGCAGCGTAGAACACGATGACTACCTAAAAACCACAAGAAATTTATTACCAAAAATGTAAGTTAACTATATGGTTGGTGAATAATTATTTTATATTTGCGTATCTCTGATTAAAAACTCATATAACAGACATATTTTTATCGAAAAAACTCATAAAACTAGACTGAAAATGAAAACAATTACATACTTGTGTGATCTTATTGGTGTGCTTATTCTTATAGTTCAAGATAATACAACCAATAAAACTCTATAAAGTTTATAAATAAAAAATGATTAGTTAACAGGTAATTTAGTTGTTAACAATAAAAATATCGCTACCTGAGTTAAACAACGAAATGAAATGTATTATGTATAACAAAAATTACTTGATAATATTTTAATGTAATCACAATAACAAAAATACAGCAAATTCCACACAGATTTTTAAATAGAAAACGAATATTCTATTCAACAAGATCCAATTGAAATGTGTATTTTGCATTAAAAACAGGAAATTCGTCAAGAAAATTAACGTTAATAAAGTAGTAACTTTGTACATTATCATTGGAAAGTTAGTTTGTATCCTGTAAAATGCAACGTTTCACAATAGAGCATCTGAGCTGCACTTACCACAGGGATCGAGCCACAAATTTTAGCATTATAAGTCCTCAAACTTACCGTTGAATCATTGAGCATTCACTTGACAGACCATTTTTGCTATACAAAAATTTCATGAAACCAATCATAAAAGTTGGTCTTCCACTCACTAATTAAATGGTACAAGTACAAACTACAAGTGGTCAGTCTCATAGAGGTTGCTCTTCTACTCAGTAACTAAATGGTACAAGTACATACTACAAGTGGCCAGTCTCATGAAAGTTGCTCTTCCACTCACTAATTAAATGGTACAAGTACAAACTACAAGTGGTCAGTCTCATAGAGGTTGCTCTTCTACTCACTAACTAAATGGTACAAGTACATACTACAAGTGGCCAGTCTCATGGAGGTTGCTCTTCTACTCACTATTTAAATGGTACAAGTACATACTACAAGTGGCCAGTTTCATGAAAGAGCAACTCAGTAACTAAATGGTACAAGTACATACTACAAGCGGCCAGTCTCATGGAGGCTGCTCTTCTACTCAGTAACTAAATGGTACAAGTACATACTACAAGTGGCCAGTTTCATGGAGGTTGCTCTTCTACTCAGTAACAAGTAGTCATATTATTATTATATCAAAAATATATTTAATCGAGAGTTTATTGTTGGTGTATTCTAAGAGAGTTATGATATGATCGTAAAGAACTTACTGTGACATAAATAATGGCGTCTGTGGATTGATCAGGAAAAATCACCCGAACTGTACGGTGCGGATCTGCTCGAAAAGCGCTTGTGGCGAGAGTGTTATTACACACGCCCTTTGACAGGAACCTGAAGGAGAATATGAGACTGAATTTATTTCACGTAAACATTATATCTGTAGGCAATATGAACAATTAGTGGAAACACTTCTGGATATACAATTGGAATGAATAAACAGGACAAGTAGGTAAGGGTTTGAAGTTGACCAGAAATATAGTTCTGGTAAGATTAACTTTAGGCCTACATTTAATTAACCAACAACATATTTCATTTACGTGCAAAATTGCATGCAACTTTTAGTATATCATGTTTTGTGGCAGACTTTTTTTAAATCTGTCTTTACAGTATGCTCTTTGTTATAGACTGTAATGGAACTGTTCCGTTCCTATTGAGTAGTTGGGCATTTCTTGGCCACGTAGTTTTTAAACTTCTCTTTGCAAAGCTGTTGTTGTTTGTTTGTTATTAAGCATAAAACTACACAAACGGCTATCTGTGCTCTGCCCACCACGGGTATTGAAATCCGGTTTTTAGCAATATAAGCCCGCAGACGTACCGCTGTGCCACTGGGTAGCCTTTGTAAATCTAATAAATACCCGTGGAAAAAATATCTGCATATTTCTGATTAATCTTGAGGTTCCAAATAATATGAAAAAAAGTTTCTTGTGAAATAATATTACAAAATTTTTAACAAATTAGTCCATTCAATAATATCACACATTTGACAATATTCTTGTTGACAAATTTCATCAATAGACTATCTGTGACTTCTCTATTCGATGAAACGTAGTGTTTCCAGTCCTTCTGGTGTTTAAACTTTAATGGAAGACAGGCAAATAAAAAAGGTAACTTGCATAATGATCACCCTGCCTATTGTAGGGGAGATGATGAAGTGCACAACTTTCAATCATCAGCGGCCATTTGTGGACATGACAGTTATCCTTAAAAAACGTATTAGTTAACAATCCTGGTATTAATGAAATATTTCTAAAAATAATAAAATAGAATAGTCGCCAGTATAGTTCCACGAATACATACATGTATGTATATAGAGATGTGAACTGAGGTTAAATCTGTTGAATACACTTTCGCAAATACCTTAGCTTATAATTTCCCACCCTAAGATTCGTAACTTGGTGTTGTTATTACCACGGTTATGTTTTCACCCCTGTGTGTATGTGTTTGTCAACAAGATTTCTCGAAAACGGCTGAAATGATTTGGACGAAAGTTGGTATACATTTGGACTATGACCCAACTTAGAAGTGATTAGTTTTTTGAGGGCTAATTTCAAAGGTCAAAATCACAGCAATGTCACGAAATCCAACAAATCTCTATCTGTTATCACGGGCATCGATTTTTCATACTATTCTTGCTCTATTACTGGGTCAAAAAATAATCGGATGAATTCCTCATTGTCCTGACAAAAATGGTTTGTGTCCTTAGATAACGTCGGACATACGGACACATTTTCGCTTTTTTTTTTTTTTTTTTGAAAGCCGAATATGATCAACGCTGCGTGACGGAGGTAAGCGCTCTACTGAGTGGCCCTCTGGTTGTTGATGTTGTCGTTGTTGCTGCGTTTCTGTAAGCCTGATTTTCTATATATTGTTGGTTGACCAGAAGTCATCTTAAATCATTTATATTACAAAAAAAAGATATCTTAGTAATCACTTTTGTGAGATGTTCAAGTACTTTTGTTAACTCTCTGTTTATTAATTTACTCTGGTTAACTATCCTGTAACTGACTCTATGAAGGACACATGTGCTTTATCTTGATTCAAGAAGTATCTACAAGACGAATAGAAAATACTGTGCATTGAAATATTTTCTGGGAGAAAAGCAATCGGAGGAGGTTTCAACCATGCTGAATATATTTATTTCACTGTCCTAGAAGAAGCTATGAACATCAGTTAGAAGTCAATGTTACAATGCTCAGTTCCTAAATGTCCAACTTATTTTCACTAGAAATTACGAATATCAGCGGAATTTATTCAGTATAAAAAAATAAAAGAACAACATTCGGGGCAAACAGGATTTAGCAACTGTTGTCAAGATTAGATAATTTGTTTCTGTGTTTCTTTAGGTACAGATGTTCTCTACTTGTTACGTTGCAATATTTCAGCAAATGTATCGTTTGAACTATATACACGAATTGATTTATCTTTATCAATTGCTTCGAAATAGTAAATAAAGCAGAATAAAACAGTTTCACGATTAAAGATGGCTACCCAGCAACAGGAAGATATTTTCTACGCATGTATTATGTATTTACTTAGAATAACACAGTTTCACGATTAAAGATGGCTACCCAGCAACAGGAAGCTACTTTCTACGTATGTATTATGTATTTACTTAGAATAACACAGTTTTACGATTAAAGATGGCTACCCAGCAACGAGAAGCTACTTTCTACATATGTATTATGTATTTACTTAGAATAACACAGTTTCACGATTAAAGATGGCTACCCAGCAACAGGAAGCTACTTTCTACTATGTATTATGTATTTACTTAGAATAACACAGTTTCGCAATTAAAGATGGCTACGCATCAACAGGAAGTTACTTTCTACGTATGTATTATGTATTTACTTAGAATAACACAGTTTGCCGATTAAAGATGGCTACCCAGCAATGGGAAGCTACTTTCTACGTATGTATTATGTATTTACTTAGAATAACACAGTTTGCCGATTAAAGATGGCTACGCAGCAAGAGGAAGCTACTTTCTACGTATGTATTATGTATTTATTTAGAATCGATGCTACTTATAACTAGATTGAAGGTTCACTAACAAGAAGTAAAAATTCTTCAATGTAAAATGTTAGAGACGCGAAAAAATCTAGTCTTACGTTGCAGATTACAAGTAGATGTTAAAGTACATAAGTAGCTCAACTCGAATTGTTGCAGACTAAACTAAATGTCAAATTATCTAATAATTTCTCCTTTAAAAATGTCTCGCTTTTAGCCAATTGAATTTGTAAGCATCGTTGCTGGCACAGTTTGATTCTCAAAATACGATAAAATACAATTTCAAGTGTCATAAAGAGTCTTTAGTTCTATGACAAAGCTGTATAATATTAAGAGCAGTTAAAAAAACAATAACTTTGAAATATGAACAACTGAGCTTTCCTTAGAAATACTCTTCTGTATCCGTTCTTTAATAGAAATGTCAAGTTGTCTAAACTGTACCAGAAAGACTTTGAATCTAGGTAAGTGGCTCAGTTATAGCTGTCAAGGTTCCTAGTATGTTTTAAGCGATGTAACTTTAGCCTATACACTCTAATTCTTATAAAATCTTAATGAAATTGGCTGAAGTGTAATGGTAATAATACTTAAACCAGGTGGATTTTCTTGACCATTTCATCTGTTGAACTCCATTAGACGTATCACACTGATCTAAACAAACACGGAGATCATGCCATTTGTAATGAGTGGAGGGATTTACAATATCACATTATGGCATATCAAGTACGACTGTCTCCACATGGGAATATTATTATCTATTATTCACCGTCTCTGTCTATTTGTTGTTGGTCTGCTTTAATCTAATATCTGAGAGTTGTTTTAAAGTTGACGGCGATCTCTGATAAAGTAATCCCAAACAATGAACAACTTCTAAGATTATAAGTTTGGCTAGTATAAGTGTAGTGTGAAGATCACGTTAAGACTTAATTTAATAAAGTGAAAATAAAAATTGTTAAACATATTTTGAACAAGCCAGTAAATGTACAACACTGAATTAGAAGGGTAACTCTGCGAGTGTGAGAATTTATCTCCTTTATATGTTCTTTTGTTGTTATTAAAGTTTTTCATAGATAGACCAAAGAAAATTGTTCATTTCTTGTTATTATGAACGTGATAAAATATTAATATAGTTTATTAGGATTACATTGTGAAAGATGAGTAAAAAAAGGGTTCACGAATATGCGAAGTTTAAACTTATCAGTAAGTTCTTCACAATAATGTGCACAACAGTCTACTTGTTAAAGTTTGGAGTTTATTTATTTAAAGTTATTCTGAAGACCTTAAAAATTAACCAGCAATAAACCAGGTTCCACGATTTATGGGACTGTAGAAGGTGTGACTTGCATGGCACATGATATGTTATAAACAGAATTTCATAGGATTAGATAGACTTTATCTTCATGTTTTTTTTTTCCATTGGTTTCTTCAGTGGATAGAATAAAGAATGTTTGGTTGTTTTGAATTTCGCTCAAAGATACATGAGAGTTATCTGCGCTAGCCATCCCTAATTTAGCAGTGAAAGACTAGAGGGAAGTCAGCTACCATCCACCGCCAACTCCTCGACTACTCTTTTATCAGCGAATAGTGGGATTGACCGTCACACTATAACGCTCCCACGGCTGAAAGAGCGAGCGTGTTTGGCGGACAATGATTCGAACCTGCAACCTTCAGACTGCGAGTCAAGCGCCCTAACCACCTGGCTATGCAGCGCCCATAAATAATGAAAAATACATGCAATAAATATGAATAGTGTGCGTGTTTGTGGGAATCCTTTTGATTATGAACGACAATTGATGGGTACATCCTCCAAACCTGAACTAGAATTTACTCCTTTTTTCTTCTCTGTTAGGCTACGGTGCAATTTTCCACGTGCAGGCTCCACATTAGTCGAAGGAAAACAAATAATTTATCACTTACTGGTCAAGAAATCATTTAAACCAACCAAGATCACTGGTCAAGAAAACATGTAAAACAACCATGATCACTGGTCAATAAATCATGTAAACCAACTCTGATCACTGTTCAAGAAACCATGTAAACCAACTGTGATCACTGCGTTTCATAAAATCTAAAAAACATTATCGGTGGTGGAAATACAATGTAGGAATCATTGCCCTTGTTACTTTATTCCTACAGCTAACTATATATATATATAGTTTATTTCATCAAACATTAATATAATCAGTTTCTGTTTGTTATTACACAATCATGGCCCCAATGGAGCGCGATTTTGAGGAACCACGGATCCTCGGTTTTAGAGTCTCACACGCTGTCCACAAGGCCATGGTCGGCCCCCACCAAGAAGTAGTCAAAGTTCAGACAGA